CTTTGATCTTCATCAGTAAGTGCTTCAAGTCCTCTTCACTTTCAGCAGGCAAGGTTGTGTTATCTGCATATTGCAGGTTGTTAATGAGTCTTCCTCCAATCCTGATGTCCCATTCTTCTTCATATAGTACAGCTTCTCGGATTATTTGCTCAGCATACAGATTGACCAGCACATCTTTCTTGACTTTAAACCACACAGTATCTCCTTGTTCTATTTGAATGACTGCCTCTTGGTCTATGTACAGGTTCCTCATGAGCACAATTAAGTGTTCTGGAATTTCCATTCTTCACAATGTTATCGGTAATTTGGTATGCTCCACACAGTCAAATGCCTTTGCATAGTCAGTAAAATACAGGCAAATACCTGGTATTCTCTGCTTTCCACCAAGATTCATCTGACAGTAGCAATGATACCCCTCATTCCACGTCCTCTTCTGAATCTGACTTGAATTTCTGGCAGTTCCCTGTTGATCTGCTGCAACCATTTCTGAATGATCTTCTGCAAAATTTTACTTGCTTGTGATATTTTTCGATAATTTCTGCATTCCTTTGGATCACCTTTCTTTGGAATGGGCACAAATATGGATCTCTTCCAGTTGGTTGGCCAGGTAGCTGTCTTCCAGATTTCTTGGCATTGATGAGTAAGTGCTTCCAGTGTTGCATTCATTTGTTGAGACATCTCAATTGGTATTCCCGTCAATTCCTGGAGCCTTGTTTTTCACCAGTGCCTTTAGTGCAGCTTGGACTTCTTCCCTTCAGTACTGTCGTTTCTTGATCATATACTCCCTCCTGAAATGGTTGAGCGTCGACCAATTCTTTTTGGTACAATGACTATATTCCTTCCATCGTCTTTTGATGCATCCTGCGTCATTCAGTATTTGAAGGATATAGATTCTTGAAGGATAAGGATTCTTCAATGTAAAATCCTTCAGTATTGCAACTTGTGGCTTGAATTTTTTCTTTAGTTCCTTCAGCTTGAGAAATGCCGAGCGTGTTCTTCCCTTTTGGTTTTCTAATTCCAGGTCTTTGCACATTTCATTAAAATACTTTACTTTGTCTTCTTGAGCTGCCCTTTGAAATCTTCTGTTCAGCTCTTTTACATGATCAGTTCTTCCGTTTGCTTTAGCTACTCTACTTTCTAGAGCCGAGTTTCAGAGTCTCTTCTGACAACCATTTTGGTCTTTTCTTTCTTGTCTTTTTAATGACCTTTTGCTTTCTTCATGTATGATGTCCTTCATATCATCCCACACCTCTTCTGGTCTTTGGTTATTAGTATTCAATGTGTCAAATCTAGGAAAAAATAGATGAGCAAAATGTGATGTGAATAATAGGCAAGGCACAATTCAGCAGAAAAATAATCTGGTAGTGCTGAATGGTTTGATGTGTACCTTTTCAGGCTTTTCTGACAGGGTTTTAAACTCTAGTTTAAGTTGTAAGAATAGGTTTATTTATTTTTTGAAAAATATCTGAGCACCTATTGTGTGCCAGACTATGCTAGGAACTGGAGAAACAACAAAGAACAAGACAGTGTATGGTTGACAGACAAAGTGACCAGGGCGTGGTTGTGTTTGGAGGGGCAGAGGTATGCAGTGGGCAGGAAGTCTCAAGAGATGACCTCTTAGTTTCTTGTAGATGACGAAGAGTTTGACTTGATTTTAATTGCATTGGCATCACTGAAGGGTTTTAAGCAGGAGGGTAAAATGATTTAAGCAAGGTAGGATCAGCCTTACTTTCTCAGCCAGTAAAGTAAAAGTAATGACCCAAACAGCCATGTGTTTCAAATTTCTTTTACACAGTATAAAATGACCCCTTTGAAAAATTGATGCCTAGAAGAGTACTTGGAATTATTTAAACAAATGTGTCTTCACAGCTAGACCTTAGTAATTATCCCATTACCAAGTTAAAGTCAGGCCCTGCCTTCAATTTTTTAAAATTGTGTGATAGAGCTACACATTTAAATTGTTACAGTGGTCATACAAGATGATTATATAAGAACAAATGACTCTTCCATTGTATTCACTGGCTGTGCTGAAAGATACTTTATGGAGTGGTATAGATCTTCTTAGATTCACAATATGTATTATGCTAGCTTTTAGTATATTTTTCTCACTCCTAAACCAGTTGGGGAGCTAAAACAATATACTGAATCACTTAAGTAATAATTTTATTTTTCCTTAGTTATAAATTATTGTCATAATATTTATGTTCTAATACATGAAGTTCTGAATCTAGTAACATATTTAAACATTTTTTTCCCAATAGGATTCCGTATGACTCTCATATCATTCCTTTCCATCTGTGCCAAGATTTGGATACTGCGAAAACCTGTGTTTGTGGAAGATTCTGCCTAAACTGTTTCATTCAAGGAACTACTACCATGAATCTACATTCTGTTGCACACACTGTGGTCCTAGTAGATAATATGGGTGGTACTGAAGCGCCTATTATCTCTTACTTCTGTTCTCTAGCCTGTTATGTAAATTCCTCTGATATGTTAAAGTAACGGGGGATACCACAAAAAGAAATTTCATTTAGTTACAGATAGTTTGGGACTCATGGGAGGGGAGGAATGTATGTTATTCTAACATTGTAAATCATTTCATTTTAATTACATTAAAAACTCATTTAATTTTATTGTTGGAATAACCTTTTATTAGTTTATTGCACTTGTGTGAATTGCAGCCTAGAGTTTCCAGGATGAGTTGTAGGGTTTTCTTTTAACGTTAAACAGAGACGGATCCAGTCACTCTGGTCGTAAGAATTTTCTCATCAACTTTCTTCTTAAATTTTAGTAAAAGAAATTGAGTTTCTGTATACAGACAATACAGCTTGGAGGACTCATTATGTTCTAAATTATAGTGAAAACTCCTTTGAAATGAAACAACATACAAGTTTGTAACTATACCACTTTATGTGTTTTTCAGGCTTATTATTCTACATAGGGAATTTATATTCACCAAGCATAAAGTAGGAGTTGCTTTGGGAAAACACTTACTTTTTATAATTTTTATAGTGCTCATCACATAATCTTTGTTGTGATTTCTGCGTTTTTAATTTTTAGAGTTGGAACATGGCTTTGAGATTGGGTGGGAGAAGGAAAAGAAAATTGTTACCTTTTATTGATTACTAGTCTGTATTAGTTTTTTTGTTTTTCATTTTTAGCTGTTTTTTAATTTAAAAAGTAGTGGCAATAGAACAGCTAAAGGATGATGTGGATTTGAACTAGGGCAGAAAGAATGGAAAAGAGGGAACCAACTTGAAACCTTGGAGAATACTGTAGCATCTGCAGCACTATTCCTTTCTGTTCACTCCCACTGCTCTAGTTCAAATTAGCCTCTCATGCACCATTGCAGTGGCCTTGTAACTGGTTTCTGGGAACAAACGGGAGAAGTTACTGGAGAAAACCCGTTTTGGGTTTGGAGGTGGGAAGGGGTCCATATAAAACAATTTCTTATGACTTAAGTAACTATTGCCTTATTCCTTTGTCTCCCTGTTTCTTATTTCGGGCATTTTTCTTTTTTTTCCTTTTCTGAAAATTCAGATATTTCTGAGTAAATACTGTCTTAAATATTCTATTTTTATTAAAGCTTCATTTGTATATGAGAGCCAAAACATGGTTTCTACTCAGAGCTGATCTTCTAAGATACTAGGCATTGGTCTAGAGGAGTAATTCTTTGGGTGAATTTAAATTTGTATTGCTAGTGGTTAAATTCTTCTACCAAAAAACTTTTCTTCCTAGGTGTTTTTCAGTCAAAAATATATACATATAATGTATATGTGCATTAAGTAAAAAAAGCTGCCATTTATCCAGTACCCACTTTGTTCCAAGTGCTTTATATACAGTATTTTACACAATCCTCACAAATCACATTAGGTGGCAAGTACCATGAACCCAGATCAGAGATTTCAAGCCCAAGCTTTATAACTGCCTTCTAAAGTTAATTCACTTCTGGTCAAGAATTCTGTAAGTAAAGTATCTTGGGATTTTCTAAACTCAAAAATTGGCAAGAAATTGTCCATAAATATTGCAAAACGGCTGCATTGCATCAAGTCAGTTCCAACTTACAGCGACCCCATAGGACCCAGTAGAACTGCTCCATAGGGTTTCTAAGGAACACTTGGTGGATCTGAACTGCCAACCTTTATGTTAGCAGCCGTAGCTCTTAACTACTGCGCCACCAGAGTTCCACATACTTACAATTGACTTAAAACTCGTATGAAAAGCAGAATTTGTCCTCGTCATAACCTATACCCTTTCCCAGTTTATTTTTCTTGGCATTTGATACTCAACTACATTTTGTCCTTCAGGTAATTACTGGGCTCAGTTCCTTTCTTTTCATTCTGAGTTTCAACCTTCCAATTCTCTTTTCAATCATGCTGCTGACCTCCTAAACCCTCCCCACTGTCAAGATGTCCTAACATTTTAGTACCTCCAAGAGGTTCAAGAAGAGTTTATGTAGTTACAGACTGGTGGATTTTTCACTTTCACTATCTTCAGAACTTGTAGTTGGAAATCAATTTTGAACTCCAGCCTCACATTCAATACCAGTCTAAAACAGTGCTATCCAAAAGAACTGTAATTTGCATTATCCAATAGGGTAGCCACTAGTGGCGGTTGAACGCTTAAATCTGCTATCCATAGGCCTGGTTTATCCACTTCCTTCTTCCAAAATCTTGGGAGTCTCTTCCCAATCATGATTATGAATTCACCCAACATGTTCTGACTAGAAAACAAAAGTAAGAAAAGTCAATTTTTTCCCTACTATATGATTTAGCTGTATAACCTGGTTGTAAAGTTTGACAGAGGACTCTTCTTTTATATATAAATACAAACCTCCAATTCTTGTGGAAATGACTATAAATAGCATGAATTTGAGAAGAGGATAAACTTCAACTCACTTCCAAATAATTTACTGATTGCCCTTAATTCAGAATCACATGCAACTCTATAAATTAAAAAAACAAAACACATACAAAAGGTTTGAAAAAGACTATCACTGTATTTATTTTCCTACAGGTAATTTTTCTATTGCTTCAACATTTTTCAAAATTAAAAAGAAAAAGCTTAGAACTGGATCACTTGGCCCTTTCTCTTCTTATCGCCTCCCAGCTCAAAATGCTTGCATCTCTTAATGGCCAGCATTCTCTTGGACCTGCAGTTAGGCTCAACACATTCAAGCCTTAGCACGATTTTCTTTGTGGTTTTAGCCTTCTTCCGGAAAATTGGCTTTGTCTGCCCACCATAGCCGCTCTGCTTCCTATCATAGCGCCTCTTTCCCTGCGCATACAGGGAATCCTTGCCCTTCTTATACTGGGTCACTTTGTGAGGTTGATGCTTGCCACACTTCTTACAAAAAGTCCTTCGGGTTTTAGGTACATTGACCATCTTTGCAGTAGAGCTGTCTACGCAGTGTAAACTGTAGTAAAATATTTAAGATAGCAGACGTTAAACATTTTGAAAAATGAAAGAGTAATATACACAGATAGTTACAGAAAATAGAACATATACATAAATCAGTAATTTATAAATTCACAAAGTACTCATTTTCCATATGAGTAAGTGCACATACAAGTGCTCAACTTTTTGGGATGCTTAGTGTGAATTAATGGAGAATTTATACAATGAGATTAATTTTAAAACAGCAGTAACAGCAGCACTGGGACGCCCACTACAGTCAGTTTCCTGTATAAAGCAGGTTCCATAGGGATTAATCTACTATGGCTGACAAATAGAAAAATGATAAATTAGAAAAAGAAAGCCAAGACTATAAAGTTTTAAAGTTTCTTCTCGAATCCCTGCATCCTTTTCCTTCATTTCTTAGCTCCTGGGTATGACTAGTTCAGTACGCAATGTACTAGCTACTGGTACCGCCCGCCCCGTTCCTTCTCCGAGAATCGCATCGGTCTGGTTTCACCTTTCCCCTTCGGAAGCACGGTCACTCGTCAGGAGCCCTGAGAGCTGACGTGTCCTTAACAGGCCGGCGTGCCTCAGGAACCAGTAGCCGCCATGCGTGGGCCCCTTTCCTAAAGGGAAAAGCCATTCTTGACCTCAACGAAGGCAAGCGGTCTCATCTTCCCTTTCTTACGACCGCCTAGTCCATCCCCAGATTCTAAGCAGTGAAGGCTCCTCTCAGAACGGATACAGTCCGCTCTGAGCTTACCGGGAACCTCGCCTCCGGTTCTCTTCGCCGAGCTCCGCTCGCGCCTAACCGGAAAGGAGGATGAAGCGGAAGTAGGAACTGAGTCTGAGCGACAATACTACGAACCAATAGACAGCAAGCAACGACGGCCAGGCGTCTCGGGATGCGTGTGGAAGCACCAACCAATGGCTCAAGGGGCGGGACCGAGGGGTGTGGGCCGAAGGGCCGCGGTACTCCGCGGACCAGTAGTGGGTTGTCAGAACGGTCGCAGCCGGACTGGGGTAAGGCTGGGTTGATGAGTCTTGGCTGCCGGGGGCCCGCGTAAGGATGAGAGCGCAGAGGACGCAGGGTTGCTGGAGGCGCAGGTAACGAAGCTGGGGTGCAGCGCAGCCGCGGCGGGGCTTCTTCCGGGACCCGTGGTGCTGAATGGAAGGGACCGAGGCGACGCCGAGTCGCGGCTCCTAGCGGCGGGGCCGCTACTCGAGCTGCAGCTGCCAGACGAGGATGTGTGGAGCCCAGGCGGTGCTGGGGAGCTGAGAGCCTTCGGGCCCTAAGACCCTCGGGGCCAGGGATGAGTTAGCGACGGCAGCCTCGGGGGCCAGTTCCGAATGCTACAGGCCGAGACGACGGCCACCGCCCGCCAGCCCTTTCCGTGCAGGAGTCGGTAGCTCCTTCCGCGCCCGTCCGCGTTCCCGGCCCGGGAGACCATGAGGTTCCGTATTTACAAGCGGAAGGTGCTAATCCTGACCCTCGTGGTGGCCGCCTGCGGCTTCGTCCTGTGGAGCAGCAATGGGCGACAAAGGAAGAACGAGGCCCTCACTCCGCCGCTGCTGCAGGACGCCGAGCTCGCGCGGGGTACGGGCGGCCGGGGTGGGGAGCACTCCGCTGTGTCTGTGGGCATCCGCAGGGTCTCCAACGATTCGGCGGCTCCGCTGGTCCCAGCGGCCCCGCAGCCAGAGGCGGATAACCTGACGCTGCGGTACCGGTCTTTAGTGTACCAGCTGAACTTTGACCAGACGCTGAGGAATGTAGATAAGTCCGGCTCCTGGGCGCCCCCGGAGCTGGTGCTGGTGGTCCAGGTACACAACCGGCCCGAATACCTCAGACTGCTGCTGGACTCTCTTCGCAAAGCCCAGGGCATTGACAAGGTCCTCGTCATCTTTAGCCACGACTTCTGGTCGACAGAAATCAATCAGATAATCGCTGGAGTGGATTTCTGTCCGGTTCTGCAGGTGTTCTTTCCTTTCAGCATTCAGTTGTACCCCAACGAGTTTCCAGGCAGTGACCCCAGAGATTGCCCCAGAGACCTGGAGAAGAATGCAGCTTTGAAGATGGGATGTATTAACGCCGAGTATCCCGACTCCTTCGGCCATTATAGAGAGGCCAAGTTCTCCCAAACCAAACACCATTGGTGGTGGAAGCTGCATTTTGTATGGGAAAGGGTCAAGATTCTTCGAGACTATGCTGGCCTTATACTTTTCCTAGAGGAGGATCACTACTTAGCCCCAGACTTTTACCATGTTTTCAAAAAGATGTGGAAATTGAAGCAGCAAGAGTGTCCTGAGTGTGATGTTCTCTCCCTGGGAACCTATACTGCCAGTCGCAGTTTTTATGGCATTGCTGACAAAGTAGATGTGAAAACTTGGAAATCCACAGAGCACAATATGGGTCTAGCCTTGACCCGGGATGCATATCACAAACTGATTGAGTGCACAGACACTTTCTGTACTTACGATGATTATAACTGGGACTGGACTCTTCAATACTTGACTGTATCTTGTCTTCCAAAATTCTGGAAAGTGCTGGTTCCTCAAGTTCCTAGGGTTTTTCATGCTGGAGACTGTGGTATGCACCACAAGAAAACCTGTAGGCCGTCCACCCAGAGTGCCCAAATTGAGTCACTCTTAAATAATAACAAGCAGTACATGTTTCCAGAAACTCTGATTATCAGTGAGAAGTCTACTGTGGCAGCCCTTTCCCCACCTAGGAAAAATGGAGGGTGGGGTGATATTAGGGACCATGAACTCTGTAAAAGTTATAGAAGACTGCAGTGAAAAATCACAATTAGAAAAAAAAAAGGTGACAGTCTTCTGTTTTTGATATTTGTTCAAACAGGATATACAGTTGAATAAAAGGTTTTAGGAACTGGTTTCTGCTTTAATACAAAAATTTCTTGTAAAAGGTGTCCAAATATAGTAATCATGTCTAGTTATATCTGATTAAGATTTAAAACTGAAATTTTCATTTTAGGGTTGTGTTTTAAAGCTCAACCCCTATCTGCTAAAGGTAATCATTATAGTTAATTGATAAGAGAGAGAGGAGGGGGAATCTTATTAAATTACATCTATTAATCTTTTTATCTGGAACTTTGTACACTTTTCCACTTTCAAAACTTATTTTAAATACAGAATTTGTTTAAAATTATCATAGCAGTAAAAAGTATTATAATGAAATTGTTAGAGTGTTAATGGAACAAGCCCAGTTTCACTCTTGACACAGTTATTTGGAAGGCATTCTTCGCTGGTTTTATAATTCAAAAGTTATGTTTGTTATGTGTCAGAAGAGTCATTTTCAGTATTACAGATTCCTGTACTATTGTGTTAAGATTTGCCTGTGCTTTGGAACCTTCATTAGAACACACTTTCTTTTGGAATGTATTTGATTGATAAGAAAGTTTAAACATTGTTTTCACTTCAGTGTAGAAATAGTGTTTTTTGGTTTTTTTTAGTGCTGCCAAAATAAAATACTCATTTTGCATATGAAGATTTCTAATCATTTTGCAGAATAAATTTTATTAATCATATACTCCAAAATTCAGTACCAGCATTCTGGGAGCTTTGAAAGTTAATTACACCCTAATATTTATTATCTGTACATTGTATAATTGAGTTTGAAATAAAACCCAGCTCATGACAATGCATTCTGTTTGGAAGAAACTATTTGGCGTTCAAATTAGGCAGGCATAGATAATGAACGATAAGAAGCTGCTGTGTAAGGGAAATAGACTAAATTGTTTTGGAAAGCTGGAAATGATACAAAGTTCACTCCTGCCCAAGGAGTGAAACACTTTGAACTGAAATCATACTTTTTATAGATACAGTAAAAATAGGTAGTAGGCTTCAAGTTTACTCTGTATTAATAGAGTTTTCTTTAACAATGTATAATTGTGTTCAACCAAAAAGTTACTCATAAAAGGCTAATTTCTGTGAAGAGATACAATTAGTCACTTCAACCTAAGAAAATTATGTACTAAATGGACAGTCTCAAAATTATTAATGTTATCAATTTAAAGTTCATATTGTTGAAGAGGAACCCTGGTGGCGCAGTGGCTGATAGGTCAGCAGTTCAAACCTACCAGCTGCTCTGTCAAGATTTACAGCCTTGGAAACCCCATGGGGCAGTTCTACACTGTCCTATGGGGTTGTTATGAGTTGGAGCGACTCGATGGCAGTGGGTTTAGGTTTTGAGATTGTGGCTGAAAAATGCACATGGTTGCCCAAGGTGAAGCAGATCATTCTCTTGCTTTATGAACTACCTCTACGCTACTCACTTGCCAAGCTGGTTCCCAACTCTATCTGGGGGCTATAAATGTAAATCAAGATGAATCACCAGGCTTTGTACCAGTTTTTGGTGTTCTGATCTGACATCCCAGTTCAAAGGACTAAAGATATTAGGCAATTTCCAGGACCAAGCTAAAACCAGAGGTCTGAATTGCTAGCTGTTTCTAAAACAAATAGATCAGCCCATGGCCTCGATTAGAACAAAGGTTTTCCTTCCTGCATCGTCTTTCATTCTCTAATATAAATTTGTGTTAAAAATGTTAGAATTTTCTCCTGGTCTGACATAAAAATACTATTCCACAAAACTAATTACTTAGATATGTGATTGGTTGCTCTCTTATAGGTGTCATAAAAGAAAATGATTAGAAAACACTGGCTTTTTCTCTTCGTGTAATAATAGAATGAAGAAAATTTTCCTATGGAAGCAAATTGTCAGATTTTTTTTGTCTTGTTCTAAAATTCTTAAATGTATTCTATTAAACCAAAAGATGTTTTAATACTGCAATAGTAACTTCCAAAATTTCTTTTAAAAGTTAAATTTTCAGAATCATTACTAAACAATTTAACCTTTATTATAGTTTGTGTGACATACATAAGAGTAAAACAGAGCTGCACTAAAAATGCTAAATTTCATTAGGTGTATTTGTATTGTAATTGTTTGGATCATTAATATTGGTTAGTACTTGCCTAAGAAGCTCTATTTCAAGCATAAATACATCCTGCTGTGTGACACTTATAAACTAATAGTTTCGAGATTCTAACACACACACTCATTTCTAGTTAATTATACTCTTGAGAATTCCTTTTTGTAATAGAATTATAACTTAGTGAATATTTGTTTTGAAACTTTATTAAAGTAATGGTAAACAGAAGCAAAAAACTACAAAATAGGTAACAGGTTATATTAAAACTAAAGTTTAACTCTTCGTTAGAAAAACACATCTATCAGAGGAATCACAAAACTCATCTCCATAATTAAGGAAAATTTATTTAAACTCTCTAGAGGCAACAAACAAAAAGCCCAAAAAACTCCAGTTTCCCAATTAGAATAAAAATGGGAAATTTTAACTTTATACTTTCCTGAATAGATTTAGTTTTAAGACAATATTTAACAGAATATTGAGGTCCTAATTTTTTTTTATTATTAACCTTTAAATTTTAAAATTATACAGAATTAGTCTAAGTCATATAGCAAAGAATTCCGAAAACTGAATGCACAGTGAGTCACATGATCTTTCATAATTTGCACACTACCATCTTGCATATTGGTTTCTTTTATGCTTTCAAAAGCAGATATATTGTGAACTGTAGTTTTGTTCTGTAGTGAAGATAGGTAATCTCCATCTAATTCTTTCTCTCCAGTTAATACTGGTTCTTTTAAATTCTGTTTTTCCTCATTTGAGTAAACAGCACATTTTTCTTTTATAAATTCAGGTTCCATTTTTGACTCAGGTTGCTGAGATTTTCCAGATAGCACTTGAAAAACATCACGAGACTCTTGTTTCAAGTATGCAACTGAACCACAACTGTCTGTTACTAGTGCATTATCTGCTACACATGAATCAGAAGGTCTGGCATCTCCCAGTGTTTGTTCTTGTTCAGTTGTAGTGGTGATAAGATGTTCTATATTTTCTTTTTCAGTCAAATGACTTCCTTCATTGACTCCTTCCTTTACATGAAGCTCATGAGAGTTACTACTCTCTTGCAACTGTGTGAAGAGAAATAATAAATAGTTCTTTCCAACAAATAGAAAATTAATTTGTAGTATTCTCTGGAAATAAGATTTAAAAAATTGTGAGGGAATAACACTTGCAGACCTCCAGATAATACTTCAGTCTTCCCCCTGAAGGCCATCCCCCAATGTTGCCAGTCATCTTTTAATAATGCAAACCTGCCATGAATTCTCTGCTTAAATCCTTTCAATGACTCCTCATTCGAGCCCTGGTGGCTCAGTGGTTAAGCGTTTGGCTGCTAACCAAAAGGTCAGCAGTTCAAATCCACCAGCTGCTCCTTGGAAACCCTATGGGGCAGTTCTAGTTTGTCCAATAGGGTCGCTATGTATCGGAGCCAATTCAGTGGCAAAGGGTTTTTCAGTTTTTCATCTCCTTCAGGATAAAATAATCCAAGCTTTTCAATATGGCCTACAAAGCAGGGTTTCCAACTGGTTCATTCTAGTTCCAACCCCTGCTGAGAATCTGCATTTCTAAAAAGTTCCAGGAAGTTATACATAGGAATCACCTGGGGATCTTGTTAAAATGTAGATTCTGATTCAGTGTATCTGGGGCAGAAATGCAAACTCTCAGCAGGGGTTTGAACCTGAACAAACTGGTTCGACGCTCTGCTACGAAGCTCTTCTACCTGACCTAACAGTCATCAATCTTATAAGGGCATTTTTGAATTTCTGTGATTACTCAGAGCCACTCCTCCCTGCCCCCCCAAATTCTTATATCAGTCACTTGTGCTAGTTACTAAATTATTTTTAATATGCCAAATATTAAAGACTATGAAAATGACCAAACTTAAGGTTCAACTAGAAAGAATGAACAAACTGTATGGCATAGTTCCTATGGTTTGAGAATCAAAAGAGACTTGTGTGTGCCTCTGGACTAGAACTCAGACTTCCTGAGTGTTAGTTTCTCTTTGTTTCTCACTGCAGGGTTATTCTGGGATTAAATGAGATAACAAGAAAAATGAATAGAGTGTTTAGCACCGAGTAGATACACACACAAAAGCCTTTCCTCCTCTCATCACTCTAGCCATGCCACTATGTTCATTTTGTTTAAAGTTATGACATCAAGAAAATAAAAATTAAGTTGTTAGGCTTTAACCATGTCCTAAATCAGTCCTCTATAAAACCCACCAAAATCCTTACCTTTGCATGAATTTGAATATTATTATCAGTAATCTGAAGAACTTCAATTAATGGTGGGGTCAGGGGTATTGTCTGTTTGAATGGAGAGCTCAAAACCTCATCAAGAAACTCGTTAACGTTTTCTTCACTGACAAACAACCTTTCCTAAAATAAAAAGGGAAAAGATAGTCTGCCTTATAGGTTATACTTGACACAGTTGTACCTAAAAGCAGCTCACAAAAAGACTAAGTCTCACACAGTTCAGGGTTACACATTTAAAGATGTTTAATGTTATTCCCATGCTGTCTTGGCCAAAGAAAACTGCATACTGTACAGAATAATAAGAATAGCAAGATTACATACATACATACACACATAGGAAAAACCTAAAATAGTCCTGGTTCTTTTTCTAGTTCTCTATAAAATCTTAGGTATGTTTTGTCTCCTACATAATATTACTTATAAATGATATTTTTATTTTCTTTTTCTCCTAATGTTTCATAAGAATAACATAACTACTAGGGTTATAAACACAGTCCCAACTATAAAATGTAATTCTCTTTTAGAACACTTCCTAATGAGTCAGCTAAGAAATACTCAAATTTTGTGTGACCAATTTGCCTTCTAGTTCTTAGCCAGGTAAGAAAGAGCCAAGTATAATATATTATTTAAAAGGAGTATATTCTATTTTTAAGCATTGAGATACTCCAGTGTGACACTGGTATACAGCTATTTATAAGAATGAGATAGCTCTCGAGAGATTTCCAAACTACTACTAGGAAATACAAAAATCACTCTTTTACCAGAATCCCAAGCACAAAGCAATTTGTTTCATATTCATGCCAAATGAATATAGGTTATGGTGTGGAAGGAATAACCCTATTTCAAATTACTTAATTCATAAAATCAGTTCATTGTTGCCCTGAATAATAAAAGTATTTTCCTCTGTATTTTCATAATAAAGAACTTTTATAATTACAAAAAAAAACACAGCTCATTATTTGGTCCAAATAGAAAAAAATTAGACGAGTTTCAAATTCCCTTCTATGAGAATCTAATAGGCGTCTGCTAATTCATTCAGTTGCTAGTAAAAACACTTTATTAAGCTTGTGACAAGACATCTGAAGACAAACTGACTAGTTTTATCCTCCTATCTTTCGAATGCCAAATGTTAAACTAGAAAAGTCCCACTGTAAAGTTTTTGAATCACTTGGGTTCTTTGCTGCTTCTGAGAATTTGTGTTTCTTCCAAATGATGTATAGTTTAGAAGTTAACATTCCTAAATTGTTCCTTCTTTGACTTTACACTATATTCCCTTTCTTGAAAGAGCTAGTTCTGCCACTTACTAAAGCAGGGGGTCCAGCATCTGCTGAACACTGTATGAAAAAGGTTGGATGCACACAGTGCACTTGTGTGGGCACACACTCAGCCTATGACGCTCATAAAATTCTCAAAGGGTTTTGTGATGCAAAAAAGTTAAAGAATCACTTCACGGGAAACCAAGGTCAAGAAGGGGAGAGTGTTGACACATCACAGGGTTGGCAACCAATGTCACAAAACAATGTTTATTAGTTGCTTAATGAGAAACTACTTTGCTCTGTAAACCTTCATCTAAAACACACACAAAAAATAGTAGGTTATATCATAATTACAGGTAATTAAAAATAAAACTTTTATAACCTTAAAAAAAAACAACACTTAACTGTATGTAGAATGTTGAGCAAGTCTGGCCTGAGGTTCCTTAATCTATAAAATGAGCCAGCTGGACTAAGAAAATCTCAAGAATCCTTCCCAGTCATTGAGCTCAGTGCCTTGAAACTTAGAATCCTAAAATAATTGGTCCCGCAATACAATAATGGCATAACTAAAAAGGATAGTATTATAAGATGAATTTATAAGATTACTTTCGTCAGGCCATATTTTATATAAAACTAGAAGTAGAAGATATGCATATATGTATGTCGCTCATATATACATGAAATCTACTATTAGGAATAAAGGCTGGTTACTCCTTGTTTCTAAGAAAATAACTAGATTTCATTTTTATTAGATTGAATTAACAGGAAAAATACAGAACTGGCCCTTTTCATTGGATTTACAATTTTTAAGGTGTACCTACATTACACCCTCTAGGCTATATTTTTACCCAACTTGATACTATGCCCTTTATAATTCTGGACCCTCAAAATAATTCTTTAGTGGGAATATATTATGATTCTACTGAACAACTCAGCAGAAGAGTTGTTTGTTTTTCCCAAAGTGAATTGTTTACAACTAGAGTAATTTGCTTTGCTACTATTTGAAGATCCAGGCTAACACTGTGTTACAGAAACACCCCCATCAAAAGCATTTCTAAGCTTTGTGTCTCTGGAAGAGACATACATTGATCTTTACCCGATTGCTAAAAATACATCAAATATTTTCATCTTTAGTTAACCTAAGGAAAAATAATGAAAATGATTAAGATTAAAATACAAAGGATTTGCATAAACTTGCCTTCTCATCCTAGTGCCTGATTTTATTATAAAAGATACTGAACTCAGTGGTCTTGAAGCTGTAGGACAATTCCCAGTGAATGAAGGCTTATATAAATATATTAAATGTTTGTTTAAGGTCTCTATGTGGTGCAAACTGTTTGCGCTCAACTTCAAACCCACTCACCAGCACTGTGGAAGGAAAGGCCTGGTGATTTGCTTCTGTTAAGATTCCAAAAACTCATGTCAAGTCGATTCCGACTCATAGCAACCCTACAGGATAGAGGAGAACTGCCCCATAGAGTTTCCAAGGAGCAGCTGGTGGATTCGAACTGCTGACGTTTTGGTTTGCATCTGTAGCTCTTAACCATTGCTCAACCAGGGCCAAGAAAACCCTATGGAGCAGTTCTACTTTGTAACACATGGGGTCTCAATGAGTTGGAATCAACTAGACAGCAACCAACAACAGTATTTGTTTATGTGTAAAATAACAATTCTGACTTCTACATCCACAAATCGGTCTCTTTATATTATAATCATTTTCATATATATAAAATAATCATGATATATTTTATGTCTACTCCCTACTCTTGTGAATTTTTTTTTTTTAAATTTGCTTCAATACTTAAGAGCCTGGTACAGTACAAAAATGGAAGAACTGGACATTAAGATTCCATCAGCTTTAACAAATGTGATGATTACTGAAGTAATTATATTTCTATTCCAGACTTAAAAAGCTATAAAAAAAGTTACCTTAATCCCATTTTGGTCTAGTTTCTTTGTTAAAATAATGTTAGCATACTAGGAAATCAGATTAAAATATATTCTCGAGAATTCTCTTAACTACTTGCCTATAAAGTTTTCTTCCCACAAACACTGTGAGTTGTTTTCATAACTATTAAAACAATTACAGGAATATGACTGTCCTTTCCAAAATCTCCCCTTTCTGATGACATAAACAGATATTCAATTTTATCACATTCTCACAAAATACCTTACCTAGTGCTGGCTATTTATTTTACGTTTTGGGGCGGGAGTTTCAAATTAACCACTTCTCAAAGAAGAGGCCCAACTCATAAAATCTACATGTAACTTACTAGCAAACTTCTATAAAAACAAGGAGCCCCTATGGCACAGCAGTGAAGCCCTTGGCTGCTAACCTTAACAGCTGACTGACTGAACCCACCAGCTGCTCCAGGAGAAAGATGTGGCAGTCTGCTTCCTAAAATATTCCAAAACCTGTTGCCATCGATTCCGACTCATAGCAACCCTAGAGTACACAGTAGAACTGCCCCCATGGGGTTTCCAAGATTGTAATCTTTACAGAAGCAGACTGCCACATCTTTCCACCCACCTTTAGGTTAGCAGCCTAGCGCTTAACTAGAGCATGACCAGGGCTCCTCTGTAAAGATTACAGCCTCGGAAACCCTATGGGGCAGTTCTACTCTGTCCTAAAGTGTTGCTATGAGTCGGAATCGACTGGACAGCAATGAGTTATTATAAAAACAACGGGAAGACGTAAAAAGTCCTTGCAGGTTACACTCAGGGTCAAGTACTTAATTTTTAATATGTAATCGGTGCAACTAGTGTTGTTTCTGAGAACTCGACCCTTCAATGTTAAAAGAACAAAAGTTACAAGTAAAGTTGATACGCAACTCAAACAAAATCATGAATTGCTAATTACTGAGTTTAAAGAGTACAACTTCAAATTTTAAGTAATTCTTTCAATATTTGAGTGGAGTACTGAATCTGAAATTCAGGAACCCCAATAACCTAAAAAGTATAACAGCAGCTACAGCACATACTAAATTATTCGTCAAAATTATAACCTAAGAAAATCAGATACGCTCAACTTAACTCTAGAGTATCCGCCAGCTGATGTAGCTGCTGTTCAGTTCAACAAACTTTTATATTATACTTTGTTAAATGCCATCCATTGTGCTACTGAGATAACTTCGATGCAATACAGTGCCCAGTGGAGGGCAACCTCACCACCAGTGACTAAAATTAAGCAGCACCATATGGCCGGAAGGGCAAGGGATTTGGAGTCACATTTGGGTTTGACTTCTTTTTGCCACATCTGTGTGGCACTGGCTAAGTTACTTTTTCTCTCCGGAAGTAAATTATTAACTTTCTGAGTTTGGCAAAGGAGCCCTGGTGGTGCAATGGGTAAGGGCCTCCTGCTAACCAAATGTTCGGTGGTGTGGTTGGAACTCACCCAGCGGCACCAAGGGAGGAAAGACCTGACAATCTGCTGCAGCAAAGATTACAGCCTAGAAAGCCCTATGAGGCAGTTTTACTCTGTCACATTGGGGCGATATGAGTCAGAATCCATTCCACAGCACCTAACAACAAACTCGGAAAAAGTGATTTACCAACTTCAAATATGGTTATTAGGGAATGGTTCTTAAACTTGTGGGTCACAAACCCCTTAGAGATTATGACAAGTTATAGCTTCTCCCAAGAAAAAGAGCACGCTCAACTTTTTGCAAACAATTTCAGAGGTCCACGGATCGCTGGGAATCCAGGAAAACAGCTCCTACATTAGGGCAACTTTGAAGATTTGAAAACCATTCACCGCAGTGAATGGGTTAAGTTTCCTTCAAAATACTGTAAGAACGTTTAACACGTACTGATATGTTTCATCAATTTCAATTCATTATCAATTTCAAGTCATTAATGGGAAATGCTTTTTGTTTGGGTTAAATTGCGAGGCTGCCTGTAATAGCAAATTTTAAGGGGATGGAACCTTTCAAATATAAGGCTCTAGAAAGAACTGTTACCTCCAAAGAATCGTTGTTTAAACCATAATACCACTGCTTCCAATGTCCATGGCTCTCTGGAGATTTAGCCAATTCTATCACTACATTGTTTGAAGAAATGCTAATCACGGGTTCTTTGGTACTCAATTTATTCTCTGGAGCAAACTGCAAAAAGAAGGAATAGTAAATAAAGTCTTGGGTGGAGAAGCACAATTTGTACCGGAGGGGTTTCAAATCCCCTTGAAGACTCTGAGGCAGGATCCGAGGCACTTGAATTAGCAGAGTCAGGGATTCTTCATCCTGATTACACTGCAAAGGAGGACACAAAGGTTCCCCGCTCTCGATCCTGGGACCAACCATGGCTCCGTCAGAGGGCTCCCTGCCAGTGCCTTCCCAGTCCACGCGCGTCTCCACACTCAGATCTCTGCCTGCACCCCCTCTTTCTGCTGAAGAACCCGCGTCAAGGTCCCCGGATGACATACAAGAAGAGCATCCGCCACTGTCCCCATATCCGCTTCCTGTTTCTGGAGGCGGCTCCTCCCGAATGTCAAGCGGCGGGCCCGCTTGCCCACCGAAGTCTTGCTCTTCTGGCTCAGGGACAAGCTCCTCCCCAGTGCCGGCTGACGAGTACGCCGCCTCGGGGGCACTCGGGGTGGCGACCCGGACGTCTGCAGCCCCGACACCGCTGGGACTCGAGTCTTGGTCTCCGGTGTGACCCCCAGCCAGGCCTGCCTCTTCCTGGCAAGCGGGAGCGCATACCGCGCCTTCAGTTTCGGACGGGTCCGCCGACCCTTCCGGCGCCGCGGCGGGCCCCCGGTTCGCGGACGAGTCTTCGTCTCCGGCGTGACCCCCAGCCAGGCCTACCTCCCCCTGGCGAGCGGAAACGCATGCGGCGCCTGCAGTTCCGGATGGGTCCGCCGACCCTTCCGGCGCCGGGGCGGGCTCCCGGCGCGCGGCAGGTAGCGCCACTGGTAGCGTGATGACCAGTTGCCGCCGGGCTTTGTTGAACTGCGCTTTGCCGCGGCTGTCGTCCACTGGGTACGGGAGTGAGAGCCGCAGCCGATAGTCAGGCTTCCTCGAGTCGAGGCACAGCAGCTTTCCCGTCACCTCCAAAGCCGCCTGCTCGGCCGAACGCAGCAACGGCAGCTCGATGGTTACTACCAGCTCGCGAGGCACTGGGCTCGGAGCCGAGTCCCGGGAGCAGCGGTAATCCTGCAGGTCCACGTGGTGGCGCTGCACCACGCGGTAGAGAGGCTCGGTGGGGGCGAGGGGTGGGGCCGGCTCAGGAGAGGAGGCCGCCTGGGGCTGCGGCACAGCAGAGTTCCTGGAGGCTGCCGGGTACCGGTAGGGGTAAGGGAAATCGGCAAGAGGGCCCTCCGGCTCCTCCTCGGGCCGGGCCGGGGCACCCCCGGGCAGTGGCGTGCGGAGCACGGCGGCCTCTGGGGTCCCCTTGTACTTGATCTTCAGGGTCTTGGCGTTTCTGCGGTCCAGCTTCACGCCGAACTGCTTCTCGACGGCCTCCAGTGCCGTGGCGTCCAGCATGTGGCGGAAGCGCTCGTGGCGCCGGGCGAGCGCTAGCGCGTCTGGGTGGAAGACCACGTCGTAGACCGTGTAGCGGGTGCCCTGGCGCACCGCGTACTCGCGGCCTGGAGCCAGACTGTGGGGCAAGGACCAGTGGTGGCCGGGTGCGGCGCCCCCGGAGCCGGGCCGGCTGCTCGGCGCGCCCACCAGCACATTGCTGCACACGTTCACAAAGCAGCGCCGCGCTCCGTCCAAGCTGGTGCGCAGCACATGGCCTGGCTCCGGGTGCACAAACCGAACCTCTACTCCGCGCTCACGCTCCAGCGCGGTGATCTCCGCCTCGTAGCGCCGCCGGTTTTCGGGGTCTGTGAGCTCCTCGGCGTACTCGGATAACAGCCGCCGGAACTCTGGGTCCTGGAAGGCGGAGGTGAGCCGCTGTACCTCGTCTCCGCTCAGGTCCAAGTCCTCTAGCGGCGAGGAGGCGGTCGCCTTCGCCATGCTGCCCCTGCAGGGTAGGTGGGACACGCCGTGGCGGCCCGGTCCGCGACAAGTGAAGTAGCGGTGGTCGGTAACGGCCAGAGAATTGAGCCCTGGTTAGCGCATGCTCGTTGCCATAGTGACAGCACCAACACCCGGGAGGAGGAATAGGAATCCGAGTGGCATGGTGGAAATGCCAGAAACAGCCTCTTAGTTTTTTAAACTGACTACCTCATGCGTTTTTTAGGCTCCTGTGCCACGGAGAGATCAGCCTTGCTTCAGTTGAACGAACACTCAGTCAAGGAGCACGCCATCTCTGTTTTTCCCAAAAGCATAAGCTTACAATACCCCTTCAGTGCTCTTTCTTCACTGGCCCATTTTTCACATCTCTGTTTCCTACCCATGTTGGGTAGAAAGTTACGAATGGAAACCGAATACAAGGTGTTCCTTCGTTCATCCACTCATTCATTTAACAAATAGTTGCTTCTATAATTAACTTTCTAACCATCTTTCATTTCTGGATGATGCTGATCCTCACCCGGTTCTAGTTCCTATGTTATTCTATTATTTTTTGATTCTGACAGCTTAGCTGCTGCCTTGCTTCATTTCACTTCATCTTGTCTAGCCCCTGAGTGCACCCTATCTTGTAGTCATTAACTGTTTTCCTGAAAAGATTTCAAAATACCCCAGCTTTAATTATAGAAGCAATTATCTGTTAAATGAATGAGTGAACAGGGGCACCTGGTATCCACTTTCCATTTATCTTTCATATAAAGCTCTATAGCTCTCATAACCGGAACAACACACCCTGTGTCTATTTCACTACCACTCTCAAGGCCCAAAATGTCAATTTTTTCAAGCAATCTAGTGGCTTTAAACCTATGCCTTGATTTTGTCTTTAAACTTCAATTTTTCCATGCTATTCTTGAGAAATTAAAGCTGCTAAACCCTGCTCTTCTAACATCCGGCCCCTTCTAACATCAGGCCCCTTCTAATATGCTCCCCAAATTTTCCATCCTCAAACCACATCTCAAATTGCCACGTCTTCCTTACTGCTAATTCACTTAACACTGCATTCAGGTTAAATTTTGAGGAATTTCCTCTTCACTATGTCATTTTTATTTTTTATTAGTATCTCTTCCAAAAAAGCTAGTTCTACTTGAAATAAATGTCTTCCATTCCAGGCTTTTTGTAATTTCTAACATTACTACTACATCTGAAACACCCTTTGTACCTCTCCCTAACAGCCTCTGTCATTCAGATTCATTTCTGGGCTATCTTTCCATCAAGTCCATAAACTAAACGATAAATAAAGGGATAGTGTTGAGCGATTACATACAAAACAACAAAACATGCTGCTTCAAAAGAAACATGCCTTCTAAATGTTACAACTATAGGGATTGTTTGTTTTTATATTTCCAGTACCAGCAACTTTGGTGATTATGTAATGAATATCAAACTAATATCCTGAAGCAAAGGTTTTCACTATCAGTAGAATAAATTTTGTGACTGAAATTTAGTTTGAAAATTGCTGAGTATATTACTGGGACTCTTACGGTGATTAAAACAATGATTTGGGATATTTTAAATATTTGTATTTGTCTTAAAATTAACATCATAGTATGACCATTATAGATATAACTAAACTTTATTTTTTAAGTGCAAATGTATACTTAGATTATATCTTTACACATATCTGCGTATTTTTCTTAAACTATGCAGAAAATATATTTCCTATGAAACTTTCTAAAGTATACCGTCATGTTTATTGTAATTTAATATA